GCCTGTGTCCTGAGTACACTCCTGTACTGCAGTGAGTCCTGGACCCTTTGTGCACGGCAGGAGAGGAAGCTGAACACATTCCATATGTGTTGTCTCCGACACATTTTTGGTATCACCTGGCAGGACAAAGTTCCAAATAGAGTAGTCCTAGAATGAGCTGGAATTTTTTGCATGTATACACTACTGTAACAGTGATGTCTACGTTGGCTTCAGCATATTGTGAGAATGGCTGATGGTCAGATTCCAAAAGAACTCCTGTATGGAGAAATAGTGCAGGGAAATTGCCCCAGAGGGAGACCACAGCTGCGATACAAGGATATCTGCAAGTGGTTATCTCAAGGCCTTAGGAATGGACCTCAACAGATGGGAAGCCTTGACATCTGAGTGTTCAGCCTGGAGGCAGGCGGTGCATCACAGCCTCTCCCATTTTGAAGAGACCCTTGTCCAGCAGGCTGAGGCAAAGAGGCAGTTCCTAAACCAGAAAACTCAGGGAGCTGGACAGTGGACAGACTGTATTTGTCTTCAGTGTGGAAGGTATTGCCACTCTCGAATTGTCCTTCTCAGCCACACTAGATGCTGTTCCAAGTCCTCTATTCAGAGCATGTTACCATAGTCTCTCAAGACTGAAGGATACCTGAAAATGTAGTGAGACAGAAAACACGAATTGATTATAAAGCACATTCTATAACCTGTATTTGCCAATGTGCACATGTGTGTATGCATGCTTGCGGCTCAAATGTGCATATGTGTCCACACATGTATGCTATAGAAAGAACAGATTCAGAGTTACCGCACATGAACCCATTTCTATACAGGAAGTATTTCTGTGGAGAAAAAGTAATATGTACATTAGAATACATCACAATCTTGTATGTCAATTTCTCGCTTTGTGTATAATCTTTCTTTGAACTTCAGAGCTGGAAGGGACTCACTGAGTCTAGCCCATGTCAAGGAGGCACAGTGTGGAATTGAACTTCCAATCTCTGGCTCTGCAGCCAGATGCCTAAACCACTGAGCTGTCCAGCAGTTCAGTGTCTGGCATTTGAAAAATGAGAAACCATAGCATACTGTACTGTGGCATCCCAGCATCTGTAGAGAAGGATGTCTGTATGTTTCCAGGACCATCAGATATTAGGATTTGCATAGATTTGCACATTAATTCCTATGTGGCATGTTGGCAGTAGAAGAATTTGGTAACATGTGACTTGGCCAAATTACACTCCTCCAAAAGCATGTTCACTTGTCTTTTATGCAATTCTAGATTAGGTTTCCTTGAATCTTAGTTCACCAAAGTACTCAGTTTCAAACAGATTAAGCATGAAAACATAAATCAATCTTTCAGGAAGTACTGAGAACATAATTGGTGTTGCATCTTCTCAAAGCTCATATCCCTGCCCCTGTGAGCCCACCCCCAACAGGAAAATAAAGACCCTAAACCACCAAACTTTTAAGTTTTATTACAGCTGAAGAATAAAAATTCAGATTTAAGTCCATTTGTATTTAAAATTAACTAAACTATGGATTAATCCTCTCCAATCGTAAAACTGGAGGTAGGCATGCAGACAGGGATAAGACAAAATTCAGTGCATCCATGCCCCCAGGCACAAGTACTCAACACTCTCTGAATGTGAAGTCATTTATGAAGTCCTTTACAACATGCAGTCAAAGAGGTTAATTGAAAAATTTCTTAATGTCATTATGAAAGAACTAGATTAACCCAAGTTAATTCACTTTATTGTTCAAAATAAAGAGGAATAAGCATTGAACTCACTTGCAGATTTGGGGCATGAATTAGGGGTGAGATGTTGTCTTTAAGGACTCTGCCAGTTTAATTAAGATATGGAAAATTACTTATTGTTCTTCACCACTAAAGTGCTAGGAATTAACAGCCAAATGTGATGCCTGTGCCTTTCATATCTCTACCATGTGTTTGTTTGTTTAATACCCATAAGACTACATCATTAAACCTCAAGCACTGATTTCACTAATTCAGCACTAGAGTTACATGCTGCAGCAGCAAACACCTTTTCTAGCCAGTCATAATAGCAGCTGGATATAAAATGCATTATTATTTTTAGGCTCATATCTAACTTTGATTCGAAACCACAAGTACTATTTTTCTTCTCAGCAAAATTCCTTCCAATTTTTATAATAGCTCTAACTTAATATAACAGGTTTTTAAACTTTGCCTAGATTCATAAGTATTCATAAGTACAGATTCTATAGCACATTTTCAGTACTGTGAGTATTCTTCTGCTGCTTCTTTCCTCCAAAATTTAGTTTTAAATTAAAAGTGATTTATGGTTCTTCCCCCCTCCCCCTTAGGAAGTATTACTCAAAAGAGCAGCTGACCTTGTCGAAGCGCTGTATGGTATGCCCCACAACAACCAGGTAAGTTCTCTTTACTGTTTTTTCTCACATATGCACAGGGTAGCAAATAGGCACCTATTCTTTACAAACCTGCAAGATACCAACACATTATTTTCACGTATAGCATAATTCCACAAACCACCCTGAGCATAGTCTGATATGAAGAAATACTCATGAGCGAAACTCAAATTGACTTCCCATTTTCTTCCTCAGGGCCATTTTGCTGTACAGAAAGGACAAATAAGTCTATGCCAAAACAAAACAAAACAAAAAAACAAGCAGTCCTTAAGAGAACTTAAAATTTGCTCCACTATATTGGTTACAAATAGGAAGTCATAAATTTGTTAAATAACCAATAAATCGGCTGTGTAAATTATAAATTATTGAAAAGATATCAGTTGCATAATCCAAGTAAAGCACATGATTTACAAATATCACACTGGTAGAAGTGCAAGATAGGAATTTGTGTCATTTATCCCCCAGGACATCTTTCCAATAATGTTTGCTGGTATATATACAAAACTTTGCTAGGTGAAAAAGGCACATCTGTGCCTATCATAGTGTTTTATTATGCTGACCACATATTTCATTTAATTCCAAACTGGGATGGGTATATAAGAATGTTGAACTACTTATCAGAAGTTAATTCTTTTATCTTTTTGTAGGAAATAATCCTGAAACGAGCAGCTGATATTGCAGAAGCATTATACAGTGTACCACGCAATCACAATCAGATCCCTACCCTTGCCAACACTCCGGCTCATACTGGCATGATGGGAGTGAACTCATTTAGCAGCCAGCTAGCAGTTAATGTTTCAGAAACATCACAAGCTAACGACCAAGGTATGTGGAGTTTTAAGTTACCTATCCAAGATTTTGGTTATTTGTGTGTGTGTGTGTGTGTGTGTGTGTGCCTGCATTTGACTTTATTTTCTCTACATAGTTATGTAATAGTATGCTGAATATATTCCCTCATTTTTCTTATTCGTACAGAATTTATTTTTTCTTTATCGTACAGTCTCTTCATTGAAATAATGATTAAGAATAATAGCAAAGTACTGTAAAATTGTCAACGTGAAGCTGGAAGGTTGATAGATTGTACCTGCTGAAAACACTAATAAGCTTGCACTGTTGGTTTTGTCACACTTCCAGTTCACTAGACATAATCAGTCCCTATCTCTCAAATAATTCACCATTGTGAATGTGATTGTGATGATAAAGGCATGATAGTGATGAGTACAGAGTTAACAGGAATGGCAATCACCTGTCCTTTCCCAATACCAATATGATATATGAAATCATAAACAGGAATTAGCAGCAATTTTAAAATTACTGTAACCAATTATTAAATAAAATATATAAACAGAAGAGAAAGGACCATACTAAGACATATGAGGAAACCTTATAGAATTTACTTGTATATATTAATACCTATAGCACAATTGACTGATCATACATTTATGGAAGAAGAAGAAAAAATTCTGGTTTGGATGTGCCGATAAGCCCTAGTTTACCAGGATAAGAAGAGACTTAGTGTTCCTCCCAAGCTTGCATTCTTCTCCTGCAAAGTGGTGCCTAAGAGCAGTATTGTACAAATTACTGGTACAGAGGTGAAACTGCTGTACTGCAGCCAAAACTCTGATCACGACCCGCGTTCAATCTCAGGTAGCCAACTTAAGCTTCACTCTGCCTTCCAGCCTTCCAAAGTTGGTAAATTGAGTACCCAGCTTGCTGGATGGGGAGGGAAATGTGTAGTCTGCATAATTAAAATTGTAAAACCCCTTAGAGTGCTTTAAGTACTATAGGGCACTATATAAGCCACATGCTTTGCTTAAAAAAAAAAAGCAAATCCCACTGAATGCTGACTGGATAGCTAGGTATGTGGCTGCAGAGGGCTGGAAGTTCCATTCACCACTGTGTGTTCTAGGAGAAAAGCCAGCCTGTGTAGCCTTGGGCAAGTTGTGTACTCCCAGGGTGCCCCCAGAAGTAGGGAATGGTAAACCACTTCTCTGTATTCTCTGCCTAGGAAACCATGGAAAAGGCCAGCAGAAATCAGAACTGACTTGATGGCATGTTGCTGCTGCTCCTGCTGTTGTTGTTAAATTTCACTGAGCATAGTTGGCCTTTATTTTAGTATAAACATGAGATTGTGCTGTAACTTGGTGTGAACAAGGCCATTGCATTATTATTAGTTTTTGTATTGTACAAATTACTATTATTTTGCAAAGTATGTGCATCTGTTAAGTTAATGTGTCATACTGATACCCTAAAGCCATTCTCTAGAATGGAACAGGGCTGGTTTTCACTGAAGCATAACTAGTCAGTGTGAGCATTTGCTTACCTTTTTTGTGAAAATGCAAATTACAGAAGTGAAGATTACCCTTACAAATAACTTTTTGGAGTAAAGTCAGTGCAGTAAATAAGCCTCCCTCTCCCTAACACACTCTAGAATTCGAAGCTCTAGAAAGGATGGAAGTTCATTCAGTAAATTGGTACAAACCAGCAATCAAGCTTTTTGACAATTACTACTGAAGAAAAATGTGAAACAAGCTGACACAATTGGATCGAAGGGAGCTTTGTTGGCTGTCTCTGCCAAGAGCAAAGGCAACACAGAACGATTGCAGATGATTTAAGTAGTGGTGGTGTGATAAGGTTATCTCGAGCTGCAAGGTGATGATAGGGTAGTAGTAGACAACTTAGACTAAAGCTGTGCAATCAATTAGGAGCGTGTATCATATGATGTAGTAGAGAAACCCTTCACCTCCTTAAGTAATAATCATGTTCTTGGGATGTTTTTCCCCCAACACAGTAGGTTACAGTCGCAACACGAGCAGTGTTTCCCCGCGAGGATATGTTCCGAGCAGTACTCCTCAGCAGTCCAATTACAACACAGTCAGCAATAGCATGAATGGATATGGCAATGCTGGCATGCCCAATCTTGGTGTACCTGGTTCCCCTGGATTTCTTAATGGCTCTTCAGCTAACTCCCCCTATGGCAGTAAGTGTTTGTTTCTGGTACATGTTTTCATTGCATTATTTCCTGTTTGTTACAAAAATATTTACTTAGTTTTGTTTTTCTACAATGTGAGCTACTGGATAAAAGGAGGGGTGACTCTGGAGGCTGGACATTAAAAAACAAACAAACATGGCAAATGTATTGGAATATGCCAAACAATAATCTTGATTTAAAAATTAAGAATCATATTGGACTGCACAATTTGCAACCAAAGTCCAACACAAAAGAGTTTGCCTGTTATCCAGAGCGTGGCAAGCCAAAGCATTTTATTTTTTCCTATTTTTTTTTCACTATTTTAAGAGGCAAGGCCCTATATCTTTTTTTTTTTTTTTGCCCCCTCCATGTTTGCCATAAAAATCCACAATATAAGTCCTGATTATTTTTGCTTTATTGCAGTAGTGCCGTCAAGCCCTACCATGGCAGCCTCTTCGGTCACCCTCCCTTCAAACTGTAGCAGTACACACGGCATTTTCTCATTCTCACCTGCCAATGTCATCTCTGCAGTGAAACAAAAGAGCGCCTTTGCTCCTGTTGTCAGGCCCCAAGCTTCTCCTCCACCATCTTGCACCAGTGCAAATGGAAATGGACTTCAAGGTGAGCTGGATCTCTGTCTCATTTTTTTGTGTAATTGCAGACTATTTAGGAGAAAACACTAGAACATAAAATTCTAGATCTTCAAAAGTGGCATTTTCTCACTGGCAAATACTAAAAGAGAAGAATAATAACTCCAGAAAATATATAAGAATATTTTTTGGGGGGTGGGCAGTAGTTTTGTACTGCAGGTATAAATGGTAGCAGTACAAACACAACACCATGTGCTGCTTAGATTTTAAGCCTTGCGTTAGAAGAAACAGTGGCTGTTTTCACAGCATTTCCCCTCAAGATTTCATGCATTAACTTTTAAACTAAACACGTAGTATTCAATGTACCTCACAAATCAGATGTGTTCCTTGTGCTTCTTTATACGTTTTCTGCATGCATTTTTTGATAGACACATTTTAATCAGTAGCTATTTGAGATGTGCGGCATTTCCTACCTGTGTCATTATGTCAAACTTATGCAGTTTTTAAAGCTGTTGTTCATTGTTGCTGTGGTTCACTTTTAGATTCATAACTAAGCTTTTTGCTTTTACTGGAGTTTACTCTTGTTAAACTGACCATAAAAAAAGGAAATTAGGACAAATAGCTATAAAATAGCCTAAAGAATTTACATAGTCACTTCTAGTCAGTGATACAAAGTATGAACTTTTATAGAAGGAGCAAAATAACTGCAGAGACACTTATTAAAGAGATTGTTTTTCATTAAAAATGCTATCATGTTTTTTTTTCAAATACAGAATCAAAACCTCCCTTAGTTGAATCAACCTAAAATTAAAAAGCAGTGGGCACCAGAAATGTTCTATAAGCACTTAACAATATGTAGCCTTGGTGGGATGAAGCACAAGTAGTATTGATTTATTTACATTGCAACAGCCATTTATTCTCCAAGTACCAGGAAAGAATAAAAGTAGAGTATTCACATTTTAGACTCTTCATATTATATCACAATATCACTCACTCTGCCACCATCATCCTCTCATCATCCTCCCGTTATAATGTATATACACTATACAAAAGCTTTCAGGCTTCAAACATGGTTTATACATATGAAGAAAATAAAATAAATACAGCTGAAAGAAGATTTGAGGACATTCATCTAATCTATAGAGCCCCTTAGATTTATTATTACTATTATTACTGTTGTCATTATCATCATTATCATCAGTTACTTCTAAAACAACTAATAATTGAAACCTACAGGCTACCTTGATTAACTGTAATTTATTGATTACAATCTGTTCTTTTGGATGCCACCAGTATGGAGGGGGGAGGTGAGAGTGTCTGACCATAGACCCTCTCACATTAGGAACATTCCAAAATTCACAAAGAATGCTGGTACACTTCTGATTATGAGGTCTTCATTGGCAAGGCAATATAGAATTGCTCTCCGAAAGCATGTGTCAATCAGGGTGCCCAAATGGCCTGACATTTTTTCCCCTTATACCCCTAGGATGAGGCCATTGAAACATTAGCAAATAAAGGGAGCCAAATCATTTTGTTTTGAAATTTCCTTTCCATGTCAGCATGTAAAAATACGATACAAAACCCTAACAAACCTCAAAGCTGCTTATTTATCTGAAACAAGCTTTTAAATAGTTCTGTAATAACAACTGTTGATTCTGACTTATGGTGACTCAACATTTCTTAGGCATAAAGGGCTCACAAGTAGTTTGCCATTTTCTCCTTCTGGTGGTGCTCTGGGATTATTCAAGGCTGCACAGGTAGCAGAGCACTTAACCCCTTCAGCCATATTCTCTGTGGGTGATCTTGGCTGGTCTCACTCTTGGGAGGCGCCATGGAAACCTGAACACCCGTTCCTGGTTCCGGAGCCAGACACTCCAGTTCACTGAGCTATAACAGCCACTTCAACGGGGCTTTTATTCAGATAAAAAATTATGAGGGATGGACAGTGCCTAGCCTAATTTCGACTTCCCTCTGGACTTAATATGGGCCGCAGCCTTTAGCCACTCTGATATGCCAACACCGCCATGCTTCTTTCTACAGATTCACCCTGAAAGAATACATGACTCACCAAAAATATATTTTCATGCACCTGGATCATATGATTACAGCTGTACAGTACCTCCCTTACAAGTCTAATCAAAAGTAAGCCAGAATGTATTAAGTGAGACTTCCTTGTGGATAAATTATTTGTAATCTAAAGAACTATAAACCATACACAATGCTGGTATAAACATCATGGAGAACTTGATTTGGAACTAAAACACTCTAAAATACAATTTAGAAACCTGGAAGTATTAAAGAAAACTTTGGTAAATCATACTGCTTACACCTCAATTTATTTGTGGTGCAAGAGGAGTTTGATTTAAAGTGCAAAGAAATACTGAGGATGAGTTATGTGGGGAGACGTCTGGTTTTCCTTCTGGAATTAAAGTTCTGGGAAGATCACTGGCAAGGAGATCAGAAATTCTAGGGTAGTCTTCTTCAAGCTGGTGCTCACCAGATGGTCAAGATTGCGATTTAGAATCATACCATCATACAATCATGGAGCTGGAAGAGGCCTTCAAGGCATCAAGTTCAACCCCCTGTTCACTGCAGGAATACGCCCTGGAGCTAAGAACACAGACCCTAAAATTTAACTGGCTTCATGCACTCAAAGGCAGATTTGAGGTATTATCTCAATTATCGTTCCGCAACCAGGGTCCCTCCAGGTTGAGAAGCAATTTTTTGGACTGTAATAATCCCTATAATCTCTTGACAGTTGCACTAGTGGTCAGATGATGGAACCAGTTACCTTGGGAGGTAGTGAGTGTTCCAACACAGGAGGTATTCAACAAAAAAGTAGGCAATCATCTGCCAAATACAGTGTGATTTCTATTCCTGCATTGAGCAGGGGGCTGAACTCAATGGCCTTGTAGGCCAATTCCAGCTCCATGATTGTATGATGGTATTCTAAATTGCAGTCCTACCCTAGATTTTGCGATCTTCTTGTCAATGACCTTCCCAGAACCCTAAATTCCAGAAGGAAAACCAGGTGTCTCCTCACATAATCTATTCTTGCACTCCCACTTCTCTTCCTGCTTCTTATATTTCACTTAAATATTTCAGGTTGCTTTCTATCTTTTTCCTTCCCTGCGGTGTCATCAGCTTTTCTGGCATGGTCAACATTCTGCTGAACCACATGAAAGTTGCCTTCTTCACACAAGAGGAAATAGTTGTGAAGTGGCATCCACAAGGTTTAGCATCCTGGAGTCAACCACAATACCAGCTAAAATGTGTGTAGTGGAGGTGGCACCCTACTGGATCATGAGCAGTTAATTTCTAGATGATATTTACACAATAGGCAGGAGGAGGAAAGAATCCAGCTGGTTTTGAAGTTGAAAATGAAGGAAAATGTATCAGCAGTGCTTTTCCTATGTATTTTCAGTGTAGGCCTTTCACATACCCAAGTATATGATTTGCCTTTGAATAAGAAAAAAAAAACTCCACAGTGAACAGCACATTCAGAGAAAAGATAATAGGGTTTCATCTTATGCACCTCAGTATTATGAGGGAGAATGGGACGTGGTGGCACTGTGAGTTAAACCCCAGAAGTCTTTGTGCTGCGGGGTCAGAAGATAAGCAGTCGTAAGATCGAGGCCTCAGTATGATGAGGGAGAATGGGACGTGGTGGCGCTGTGAGTTAAACCCCAGAAGCCTTTGTGCTGCGGGGTCAGAAGATGAGCAGTCGTAAGATCGAATCCACGCGACGGAGGGAGCTCCCGTCGCTTTGTCCCAGCTCCTCACCAGCCTAGCAGTTCAAAACCATGCAAATGCAGATAGATAAATAGGTACCACCTCAGTGGGAAGGTAAACAGCGTTCCGGGCCTAAGTCACGTTGGCCACTTGTCAACGGAAACTGTCTTGGACAAACGCTGGCTCTACTGCTTGGAAACGGGGATGAGCACTGCCTCCTAGAGTCAGACACAACTAACTAAATGTCAAGGGGAACCTTTACCTTTTTACCTGTGATGAGGGAACACTGTTTACAATGCTGGGAAAAACAGATTGTCTGTAGTGAACAAATCACATCAGAGGTTTTTGAAAAGCAGAAAAACTGATTCAAACATGCATAATGAGCTGATGTGCTCATTGTGTGGGGACTTGTAATTCCTTGAAATTTATGTGGGAAAACATTTGTTTGGTCTACAACAGCCCATCATGAAAATCACGAGCATATCAAAACCTTCTTTATCTTTTCTGTCCTCATGGGGAGAAAGTTGTAGTTGTCTGCCCTTCTCTTTCTGATGAATGTTTTTCATGAATATCTGACTTTGCCCAAAGTGCCAAAGGTGGTGAAGTATGAATACTGAATCACCCTTTTTAAAAATTCTGCTTATGAGGTTGTTTCACTAACTGTGGAGTTAGCGTATACTGGTTTATAACCACAGATTACAGGTCTGCTCATAGAAGAATTATGTTACTGGTATAGAAACTGACAAAACAGGAGTAAAGTTTTTTGTTTTTGTTTTTAAAGTTCTAAGCACTAAGTATAAAACTTGCTTGAAAACCATTTGGCAATTTTGATCATTCCACCCATAATATATCTCTTGAGAGTAGCTTCAGGGACAAATAAGCAATTTATATGACAGTAAAGCATGTTATGATTTGTCTGGGTATGTGAAAAAACACAGTGAAGAGGACATTTTCGGAAGAGAAAATAGAGTTTCATCTTATGGGTCTCAAATGTTACCCCTTCATTTTATTTGTGAACATCTGAAAGCCCTTAATGCTAGTTTTAGTGTCTGTGGTGGATATCCAGATTTGTCTATTTGTGGTCTTTGCGAGTTAGCAAAAGTTTAAAATATTGTTTAGAAACATATAAATAAAGGGGTGTTCACAGTTTTTTTTTTGAGAGAGAGAGAGAGAAGAGTGAACCAATATAGTCATTTGCTAATATAATGCACACACATAGCCCACCCCACTGCAGTGTATCTGTGTATTTTGATCCTACGTGTGTGCACACCTTTTTAACCCTTAGTATGACATTAAATG